CTTACATGTCACTTTCCAAAATTTTAAGTATTTCAAGTTTTTAAAATTTCAGCTTATAAATGCAAACAATTTAGATCAAATATGAAATATCGGGCAAGAAGATGGGGAAAATTCTCGGTGAAAAGTATTATCATATATTCAAATAAGAGAATGTTTGTGCAGATAAATTGTCTAATCACACGTTATTGGTTTTCAGTTGGTAGGACATTTTGTCTTCTCTTCTTAGAAAGGATTTTTAACGGCAAAATTGAGTTTTGCACGCAAAATATTCTATGTAACCTCACTTTTTCTGCCTTCACAAATTAAACTCACACACTTTTATATATATATATATATATATATATATATATATATATATATATATATATATATATATATATATATATATATATATATATATATATATATATATATATATATATATATATATATATATATATATATATATATATATATATATATATATATATATATATATATATATATATATATATATATATATATATATATATATATTTATTTATTTATTTTGGAGAGTATAAATTCACCTCTTACCCACAACAAAAGAAAGAGAAGAAGAAAAAATTAAAGGAAGAGTTTGTGGTAAGTTGTATGCTTTCACTAAAATTTATAAAAAAAATTATCATTTGAATCTTCCTTCATACTTTTTACTAACTAGAACTTTATAAATTTATATGTGCTTGTTAATGCATATTTTTTTAAATGTTCAATTACTTATATATGTTTGACAAACATGTATAAGTGTGTGTGGTGTTGACATGGATCATTCAAATAATGAAAATAATGTAAGTTTTACGAAAGCAACAAATAATACATTGTAAAAAATTAAACATAATAGAGGGGTTTCTCATAATGTTGTGTTGTGTGCTTACCATGACAATACTTCACTTAGATGTGAATGGTTACTTCCAACTTGGATGATAGAAGAACATCGAATGAAGTTTAGTAGGATTTTTAAGATAACAAATACATACTTTTGAATTACGAAACTATATATGAATGTTTTGATAGTTTTGTTTTTAATATATAGTATCGTAATTCAGAAATATATAATTGTTACCTTATAAACCATGACAGACTTCATTCCACATTATTTTGTCGCCCATGCTGGAAGTAACCATTCATAACTAGGTAAAATATTATCATGATAAATACAAACACAACATTATGAGACATCCCTTGATTATGTTAAATTTTTGACAATGTCTTGTTTATTTCTTTTGAAAAGCTTTTATTGTTTGAATGATCCATGTCTACACCGCACACACTTATACATATTGGTCAAACATGTATAAGTAATTGAATATTAAATAAAATATGCATTAACAATAACATCTAAATTTCTAGAGTTCTATTTATTATAAATTATGAATGAATATTCAAATGATAAAAAAAAAAGTTTATAAATTTTAGTGAAAACATACAACTTACCACGAGTTCTTCCTTTAATTTTTTTTTCTTTTTTTGTTGTGTGTGAACTTTGTGAGTAAGAGGTGTATTTATATTCTCCAAAATAAATATGTTGGTGTTAAAGTGCGTGAGTTTAATTTGTGAGAACGAAAAAAATGAGATTACATAAAATATTTTGCGTGAAAAACTCAATTTTACTGTTAAAAAACTCTCTAAAAAGGTAAAGTAAAATGTTCAACCAACTGAAATCCAATTAGGTGTGGTTAGGTAATTTGTATAAGCAAATATTCTCTTATTTGAATATATGATAATATATTATATTTAAATATAAATTTTTACAACTGACCTATCTATTTGTGAGATGTCAAGGAAAAGTCTTATAGTGAAGAAAAGTTAGTAATGCACTTTTAAAATTGCTTTCCACTTAGAGTTTTTCCAATTTCTAGCATGAATTAGCTCTTAAGCAATAATGATAGCTAAAATTTTATGCGAAGGATAATTGTAGTTAGGGCTACACAAGAAGCCTCCAAGGTAGCAAGCCCGATGGTCTCTAACTATGTCTCTAGCCTCCACTAAATCCCCTATAGTTGAACCGTTCATGTTAATTTGAGTCCACCCAATTGTCTGGTTCTTCTATATTACCATCTTGATAGAAGGATCATTTCTAAATTTCAATTCAATATCCATGTTTTAATGGATTTTCATTTCACTTTCCAAAATCCATCTTTTGGAGATTCTAGAGTCTCCATGATCCGGTAAATATTCTAAGTCATCTTTCATGTCTAATTTAGCATTTTAGATTACTATTGGAGACAAATTAGAAGAAGACATTTTGTTGGTGGAAAATGGCAGTGAAATCCTAACTGTAAGAATGTGAATGTGACATTATCCATAACAAACATGCAACTAATCAAAATTTTTAAGGTGAACTACGAGTGTCTTGATCTCTATTGCATGATCGGTGGTACGTAGACACAAAAATTCACAACTGAGGTAGACACGACTAATAAAACCTTTTTTATTGTATATACACTTTGCATACATGTATTTTCCTCCTTAGCTCGTAAGTTTTAGATATGAACACGCCATTTGATTAAAACAACAAGAGTGAACCTTGTGGAGTACCACGGACGTGAGGGGTGCTAATATATTCCCCTTACATAATCGACTCCCTTACCCGATCTCTCGATCGTATGGTCGTGATTTCTCCCTTCCCAGGTTTTTCTTCGATGATTTTCTTTTCCCTTCCTATGGAATAAATAAATACTCGATGACGACTTTATTGATTTTCTCTCAATGATTTTTCCGCCGATTGTTTCAGTTGAGAATAAACTTTATAAAACTTCATTTGTTGGATTTAAGCATTGTTTTATGTTGAATTATGAGGGATGATGTTTGTCACTCTTATTGAAGAGTTGAAAATAATTGTTATTGATGTTTTCTGCTGCGAATAAATGAAAGATTTTTTAGATATGAAGTATATGTGGTTTGTGTTTATTTAAATGTGTTACGTATTTCATATGGATGAGCATGTGTATCTATGAAGGTAACATCCTGAAAAATTAAAAGGTTTTAAATTACTTTGAATTTTATTTAATAATTACGCAGGGGATTTAGAGTGTTACACCCCTTTTCAGCCAGATTTTTTCCCAAACCTTTATTTCTTCATATCTTATTTGTTTTACTCGGTTCTTGTGATGTTCTTCATCAAATTTAGTGATCTTTGATTCAATTTTCTCTGTTTCTTTGACTTAATGTATGTAATGACAGAGTGTCATCAGTGTCGTACATATTTATCTACTTTATATAAATTTCTTAGATATTCTCATATTCGAATTCAAATAATCAATAGGGTAAGTCTTGATAGATGATCACAATCCCATGTCCTGTTTTTATTATCTGTTAATTTTATTTCAATTTGCATTATACTCATCAGTATTACATCGATTTAGCTAAACACCATTAGGATAAAATTCAGTAATCATACACATCTCCCTGTGGGTTCAATCTTATTATACTACTTGGCATTGTCGTGCACTTGCTACATCGCACATCACTACGCCTGATGTAAAAGCTCTCATTTGGTTCAAGATTAGCCTTATACAAAATCTCATGTTTGATTTGGAAGGTAGCCGTTATTAAAACTCCTGTTTGGTTTGGAGGGTGGCCATTATTAAAATTCTTGTTTGTTTTGGAGGATAACTTTCGTAAAACTCTAGTTTGTTTGTAGGAAAGACTTGTAAAAAACTCACAATATAATAGAAGTTTTTAAGAATTGAGGAGAAGAGTAGGCCAAGTAGTTAGGATGAATCTCTATAAATCTCTGTGCTTGTGATTGGAATCACTTATCCAACAAAATATAGATAATCTTTTGACGATAAGGGGTTTTTACTTGTGTACGCCTTCATCAACGTCGATTTTCTTTTGTTGTTGTGTATGCATTCCTACTCCATCTGCCATCTAGGGCATATGTACGCGATTCACCGGAGGTGTAGGGTGTATACATGCTAGGATGGCGTCTGAATTCTTGTTCATCAGGCTTTCCATACACGTATGGAGCCTTCTGTATGTGTGTAACCAACTTGCTTTTCTCTTTTTCTGACGCTTTATTTGGCTGTTGAGAGTGAGTTGAAACCTACTAATATTAAATACGTCGAAAGACTTCGAAAACAAAATGGATAATCAATATATCAGTGCCACTTCATAAAATAAAATAAAAAGCAGATTAATTTTAATGAATGGTCAAAATTAGAAAATCTCTATATAGGAGAAAAAATGTGTTTTTTAAGCTTTTTCTAATTACGCTTTTAATGGAATGGACGAATTTGGTGTTAACTATTTATTTTAAATATTTTTTTTGCTTTTGTTTTTGAATTAAGTAAATTGTTCTGTTTTTTTTTTATCCTATTTAATTTAAGTATTTAAATTGTTTGAATTTTATTTAAGATAGTTTATTTTATTTATCTATTTGTTATTTTTATATTTTATCCTATTTAATTTAAGTATTTTGAATAGTTTGAATTTTATTTTAGGTGTTTTATTTTGTTTATTTCAAATACTATGTTTAGTTTTGATTAGAATTATTTTATCTTATTCTATTATAATTTTTTAGTTGGTTCAAATTGTTCTTCAATTTATTAAGTTTGTAATAAATTTTTGAAATATTGATTTCATTAAGTTGTGAACCTATAACTATATATAATTTATCGTTGAAGAGAATTTGGTTTTGCACATGCACTTGCTCACTACTCATTACAGATTAAGTATTAAGGAATAGAAGTTCCTTTATCAGCTTTGTGACAATGCTTGTTCTTGACCAATACTTTGTCACAAGGAAAATCATTTTCCTTAGACACTAGTGATTGCAATTTTGCATACAACAAAGATATAAGAGTGAAAATTCAGATTTTGATGGAATAATAACAGTAGGCCACTTCCACTTCCAACTGATAATTTGTAGTTTCCGAAGGTTCTTGCACCAATATCGCTCGTATATAGCAGAGCAGAGAGCTTCTTCCATCTTTGACACCCAATTGCAATATTTTCTATGCATAGTTTGAAAGTTACAATTAGGTCTCGGTCTTCTCCACAGCCGCTCTAACCACTAGAGTTCGACTACCAAATTCCTGCAAGAACAAGACAATACATGAGATACAAACAAGTGAAATACCCAGTAGAACATCGAAAAGTGGCGTGGCAAAAGCACATCTTACAGTTCCATTGAGGGACATTGAGGCTTCACGTTCTGGCTGAGAAAGATAAGATACAAAAGCGTAGACTCGGTTTTTCCCCTGTTTCAAATCTTCCAACACCCTCACACTAGCCACATTTCCAAATTTACCAAACAGATGTCTCACATCTTCAGGTGTAGTAGTTCTGGCAAGATTCCCAACATACACCTTATAAGGACCTTCATAGTATATAGTTCTCACAGGAGGTAGTGAATCCGATGTCTCTAAATTCTTCTTCTTAGTATTCATCTGAACTGAAAATTTAACCCGCACTTCGCGTCCACCAACATCCTTCAATTCAAATAAAAAACAATGTTTCAAATCAAAAATCAAATACCAATTTAGGCGGTTTGAACATGATAAAATGAACGGGGTTAGGGTTTTTCATGATACAGTTCATTGAGAAAATTGAATCGAATCGAATCAAACCATAGTAAAAGTTCACTCAAACCGAACTGAACCATTTCAATTTACTCAGAACAAAACCAAATCAAAATTATTGATTTGGTATATGGTTCAGTTCTAGAAGTGTTTGGACAATATGGTTAACTTGAGTTCAATTTGGTTCGGCAGTTTGAACTTGGTTCAGTTCAGTTGACAGTTTATTTGAACAGACCTAAACATAACAAAGAGACTGTAGCGAAATGGAATAAAGATCAATCCAAAGAAAGCATTAAGAAAACACATTGATGAAATTTGACAGTAACCAACCAATCCATCCAATGCATCAATTGCATTTTTAGCAGCATTATAAGATCCCATAGTTACATAAGCACTCCCCTTACTGGCACCTGTCTCAGCATTCCGACAAACCTGCATCATAGTTACCGAAGAAAAAAATAAATAAAAAAAGTTAGAGATTATTGAATTGTTTTGTAGATAGTGATCATGACCAACTAACAAAAAAAAAAAAGTAACCTCTGCAGATAGAACGGTTCCATGAGGAGTGAAGATTGGAATTAGTTGTTGAGTGTCACAACTTCTAGGAAGGTTGCAAACGTAAACTTGAGTCGGATTTCCGAGCTTCCGTCGTTTTTCTTCTCCATCGACGATTGCCGTTTGGCCATTGACGACGGCCGCTAAGGCAAAGGGAGTGGAAACCCTAGGCTTGGAGGTGTGACTGAGAACAAAATGAGATAGAGAAGGATAAGGATAAGGCACGGTAGAAAACGAAACGAATCGTTTTGAGCTATCAAGTAAGGAGGAGGAAAGAGAGAGAGTGGCGGCGTTGGTAGCCATTGTTTATCCAAACCTCCAACGACAAAATGTTAAACACTATAAAACCAAACACTAACCTATGGTCTTGTTGGGTGGTTTTGTGATTTAATGTTTTAAAACTTATAAGAGTTTTTAAAATTTTGAAATTTTGAAATTAGTTTTAATTTTGAATTACAAAATTTTTAAAATTAAAAATAGTTTAAATGTAAGTTTATAAATAATATATATTTATCATAAATAATACGACCGGTAAGTTTTTACAAAATCTAACATGTTTGCTTTTACTTATAGCAACATGTTTCACATATATTTAACTCAGCAACATGTAACTGAATTTATATCATAATGCAATCTATTTTGTACACACAGTTAAGTAGGAATACTTAGTTCAAAAAACTAACATAACAGTTTGTTTTGACGACAGTTGGTCCAAAAATCTAATATAATAATAATTTGTTTTGATAAGATAAACTAACATAACGAGTATTATTTTACCATAACAATAACATGGTTCAAAAAACCTAACATAACATAAACTAATAACTAGTCTTGGATTGCTTGCGGTGCTCGTGGCCCTCCTTCTATAACAACTTTGTGCGGCACCACTCACCGACTTCTTTTCCTTTGCCTTCATTTTTTTGTTACCACCTTTCGGAATCACTCCAACTGCCATTTTTTCCTTTATAGCTGGGGTACAGAAAACATGTACAACAAATAATCATTAGGGACATGGGGACCACAACCAGAACTTTGTAATGAAATACTCATGGAATAGATTTGAGACCACAACCAGAATTTTATAGCAGTCAAACAATATATGCAACTCAAGTCTCTATAACAACACATATACCAACACAAAAGGCCCAAAAACATACATTTTCTGTCAAGAGTCAAACAAAGCACAAACATTTGAAACACATAATCATATACCTTGATACATAGGTTGAATTTGACATATGCAACTTTGAGTAAACAATCACATGAGTTGGATACGACGGACTTGAACCAAACAACCGGTTGAGTTGAATACGAAGGAATTGAATACAACATACTTGAGATTAAAGACGAAGACAAAGGACCTGCAAATCAACTTCTGAAAATCGAACACGAATTACCTATAAATCAATTTTTGGAAATCGAAATTGGGGTTGACGAAGAAGAAGGGTGTGTGAAACAAGAGAGCAATGATGAAAACAAATGGAAATTGTAACGAGTAAATCCAATTAGGGTTCTCACTTAATTATCATTCTAATAAATAATTATTTAATTTATTATTTTGAAATATAAAATATATTATGTAATTTTAAAATACATTAAAATAATCTGACATAAGTATAAAATGTGTTGGCATGTGACACGGGGTTATGCGCAATGTCATCAAAACTTGGGCTCAGATGTGCAGAGGTTCTAAAATCCTCAAAAAAACATAATTGAGGGACCAAAATTCCAGATTTTATAATAGGGGAGCCCAAAATGAAAAAAAAAAAAGATAATAAGGGGATTAAAATTGCAATTAAGCCTAATTTTAATAATATTAGTTATAAGTGGAGTGCAAGTGTTGAACACCGGTGATTGGTGGGAACATAGTGGTAGTTGGTGGGTCAGTAGTAGTTTATGGTGGTTAGGATAATGGTCAATGTTGGTGATTACTGATGGTCGGAGTGGTGGTTAGAGTGATAGTCGATGGTGGACTAGTAATTAATTTCTTGATCGAGATGGATGAAGTGGTAATTGATAGTGCCCTAAGTGGTGGTTAGAATGGTCGTCAATATTAGTCATAGTGGAGAACATAGGTGAGTAAAATTGATAATAAGAGGTGATCTAACCTGATCAGACTTAGACCGTCACGGCTGGCTCCGAGCTGAAAGTTTTGAACGAGGTGGGGGGTACCTGCAAGACACTCTGATGCTGAAGTAAGTAAGAGCACGAGCAGGCAATAGTAAATATGGGTAGAATGATGAATACCTGACCCTCTGGAAACATAGGGTATTTATAGCCCCCAGCGCTGGGCCAAGGTTCCTTCATTGGGCCGGGCAGGTTTGGCCCAATGGAGGAACTGCCAGGTTCTACGTGCGTAGTGGGGACCCGCACGTGGTCCCCTCCCTGGATGTTCTGCGTGAAGTGCGGGCGGACAGAGACGCGGTCTTTTCGGGGTCTCGTTGAGAGTGCAGTGGACTGAGTTTGCCCTATGAGGGGTGCTCGAGGTGAGGTCGAGCTGGGCAGCAAGAGGTCGAGCTGGGCAGCAGGAGGTCGAGCAAGTAGTCTCAGGGGGCACGTCGGGCATGACTGTGACCCTTTGGTCGGCATGGCCCTCAGCAAGTCCGTTTGGATTGGGCCTTATCAATGCTATTGGGCCAGTCGGGCCCAGTCCAGAACAGGAGTCCCCCAAGTCGTGGTTCCTTGGGTTAGGAGCCATGGCTTGATCTTAGGTTGCTTCCGTTTCGGGGCCTCATGCCCGGGTCAAAGACGCAGCTCCTCGTGGGGTGCTCCTCGCGGAGAGTGCTCGGGGATTCCTCAATCGGTGCGCGTCTGCCGAGCGCGCGAGGTATCTTTTGGGAGCTGTGCCGCCACCCTATGAGGATAGGGTCATTATTGCCTTGGGAGCCGTGCGTCGAGGAGAGGAACTCTGTGGTTGCCCGAGGTGACGTTTGGTATTCCACGTCATCACTATAAATAGGATCATTGGGCCCCATAACGTGTTACTACTCTTCGCGCTTCTGCTGCTGTTGTTCTTCCGGATTCTCATAGCACCACCGCGATCTCCGTCACAGATTTCTTTCCTCCGTTGCCGAATCCACTCCTTGATTCCAAGTAAGTGACTTATCTTCTCTGTTTTTCTGTTGTGATGCATGATTTTCATTGTTTTAGACGCTTTTAGAGGTTGTGCGCGTGGGACTAGCCCGGTAAATTCATGTTTAGCTCGACATATTCATGCTTAGGACCGACAAACACATGCTCGTGGTCGGTAGATACATGGTTTAGGTTGTAATCTGCAGTGCTGCCCGGGGTCTTCATGATCCAGGGCGCCTGATTCATGATCGTGCCCGATATGCTCATGGTTCTGGTTGTAGGCTTTATGATGTTGCTCGCCATGTTCATACCTTGGGTCGGCATATTCGTGAGTGACTGCGTTGTCGGTTTGCTTAGGCGGCTTGGAGAAGGTCCCGTCGAGTTATCTGGACATCGGGGAGGCGACTGCTATTTTGTTTCAAACTTACTTTATGGTCGCGCGTGGAGCGACGTGGTTTGTCGCGCACTACATCTGGTCCGTTACGTCAAGCGTATGGTTTCGTGCCCAATTGACTGGTTTCCCGTGCTCTGTAGGTAACCATGGCGGACGAGTCGTGCTCTTCTGGACGCCCCAAAAGGGAGGAACAGAGTGCCGATGAAGCGGTGAGTTTGATCGACACTGTCGAAGACCCTCTGTTGGACTGGGTGGGCGCCGAGCCTAGAGGAATCGCCTCGATCTATAGCCGGCGTAATCGAAAGCCATATGCTGTCCTTGAGGCGAGCCACGGTCAGCCTGATTTTCAAAAGAATTTCGTCGTTACACGACCGACCTCCACTGCTCGGATTTGCTCAGTGTACCCCGAGTACAGTTTCCCCATGTACGAGATTGCATTCAAAGACCTTGGGCTGCAGCTGCCCTTCAGCGACTTTCAGGTCGGGGTCTTCGCTCATCTAGGGCTGGCCCCATCGCAGCTACACCCGAATTCGCTCGGCTTTATCCGGGCGTTTGAGCTGACATGTCGCTTTCTGAGGGTTGGGGCGACTATACCTCTCTTCTTCAGAATCTTTCATCTGCAGCGCCAGTCCCGGGGAGGGAAGCACAGCTGGGTCTCCCTGAAGCAGTCGAAAAGACTATTCAAGATGTATATGGACTCCGTGCGGGGTTTTAAAGACAAGTGGTACGTCGTGAGGTCGGTTACCACGACCGCTTTAGAATCCCTGTACGAGGAGGAAGCGCCAATGAGCGACGATGACGGGGAGGCGATTTTAGACAACGACGGGTATCCCGTGATGGCACGCACGGCCAAGTTCCCCGTGCATTGGATGTTTAGGCATTACGAGCACGGAACTGGGTATTATCATACTTCTACGGGCGATATGGGTTCCGAGGATGAGAAAGCTTACGACACTCTTTGTCGGTTCGTTGACAGCTTCCACCCCGCCAGGTGGGCCACGAGGGAGGGGGAAGATGTCCTGGACGAGGAGGGTTACCCGACATTCGAGGCCCGATCGATCGATACTAAGGCACTCGTGGAGTGCCAGTCGTTCAGGCAGGCTGCTCGTCTGCTAGGTCGTTTATTGCTTGAATTTCTTTGCTTGTCATTTGTTTGCGTTTTTGCTCGACACTAACCCGGTTTTTATTTTGTGCAGGTTCAATGGCCGGGCGACGGGAAAGACTCTTGATCCTCCCCTTCCCACAGACGGCGCCACTGATCTAACCTGATCAGACTTGGACCGTCACGGCTGGCTCCGAGCTGAAAGTTTTGAACGAGGTGGGGGGGGTACCTGCAAGACACTCTGATGCTGAAGTAAGTAAGAGCATGAGCAGGCAATAGTAAATATGGGTAGAATGATGAATACCTGAACCTCTGGAAACAAAGGGTATTTATAGCCCCCAACGCTGGGCCAAGGTTCCTTCATTGGGCCGGGCAGGTTTGGCCCAATGGAGGAACTGCCGGGTTCTACGTGCGTAGTGGGGACCCGCACGTGGTCCCCTCCCTGGATGTTCTGCGTGAAGTGCGGGCGAACAGAGACGCGGTCTTTTCGGGGTCTCGTTGAGAGTGCAGTGGACTGAGTTTGCCCTATGAGGGGTGCTCGAGGTGAGGTCGAGCTGGGAAGCAGGAGGTCGAGCTGGGCCGCAGGAGGTCGAGCAAGTAATCTCAGGGGGCACGTCGGGCATGACTGTGACCCTTTGGTCGGCATGGCCCTCAGCAAGTCCGTTTGGATTGGGCCTTATCAATGTTATTGGGCTAGTCGGGCCCAGTCCAGAACAAGAGGTGATCATAGTTAAT